CGGTGTCTGCCTCCGCGCACAAAAAATGAGATGGGCATCGCTGCCTACGCCGACGGCCAGAGGCCCGCGCATCTACATTTTTTCGCCTGACCCCATCAGTGCCGACCCAACTACACCACCACGCGCATGCCTCGCGGCGGATATGCGCAGCAGCAAGAAGGTTTCGGTCATCCCTTGAGGGTGAGTCTAGCCCTGCTCGCCAGAAAGACCCCTCCCTTCACTACAACCCATGTCTAAGCAAAAGCTTGTCGAGGAGCGAGGGGAAGAAGGGAGAAGTAATAATAGAGGATGTATGTGAAAGAAAGTGAAAAAGTAAAAAAACGAAAAGTCATTGGAGGGGATCGAACCCTCGACCCCCTGTGAGTAAGACAGGTGCTCTAACCACTGAGCTACAACGACGGGTGAGTATGGAGGACGGTTGGCCGTGACGACATTTGAATTTGAAAGTAAACATTACCTCACAGAAAGTCTACCTGTTCGAGATATAACCTCAGTCGAAAGGGATGTGGTGAAGTCTTTTCAGTAAGTGGATTGAAACCAACTGGAGACCTGGCTTATTTTGAGTTTGTGTAAGCCTAACACTGAGTTATCAGTAATGCCAATATTATTGTTATCAGTGGGGACCTTCGGCTTGGCCGCCTTCACTCCCGCTGGCATTTATGTATTCCAATACGCCCGAATCCGCCCCATTCACCAGATGTTGCAAACTTGCATTGCCTTTAGACTACCTTATACAGAATCTTCCATGCGAAGACCGTGTGAATAGGCTATTAATAGATCTCTAAGGCACAACTCGCGTCAATATCGGTTATACTTACACTTGTACGGGTGTTGACGTCTCGGTGGGGACAGATTTATCGACTACCGCAGCCACGGGTTTCCGGCACACGATGCTCGACACCGCCGCTCGCCGGACACCGCCGCCGTCGGCGGAGGCGGTACCTTCCACCACCACCACCCCCTCGAAGAAGTCTATCACTTCCCACCCGGCAAACATCTCATCCTTGAGCTCGCCCGGGCCAAGCAGAAACGCCGGGTTGGACGGGCGAACGCCGACCGATGGGTGCTGCCACGTGAACGTCTTGTACAGGACCAGGCCCCCCGGCTGTACAGAGTCGCGCAGGTTGGCCACGAGAGGACGATGCAGGTAGTTGAACACTAGAACAGCCCCGAAGGCCTCTTCGGGCAGAGGCGATGGGTTCTCCTCCGTCTCCAGGTCAGTCTGCGCAAGCAAGTACAAACATGGAGAAAAGTACAAGGGGGGGAAGCCTGCGTCATCGATTTTTCCACATACTTGATCCAAAGATGCCACGAAGATTCTCTGGATGGCGCGGGAGGAGAATAGCACACTTGAAGGTACGAGTGCTGCACACAAGTTTCCTGGGGAGAAGGCGTTTTTTCTTTGCGATGGAGGCATAAAGCCTGTTCTAACGGCCACCCCCCAGTCATCCCGGTTGTCAGGCACTGACCAAGCTTGTTGTGTGCAATGACTTGATGACTGGATCATCACAAGGCTTGCTCACCGCCAAAATTATACGTTACACCTCATAACCACTAATTAATGTAGGTTGATTGCGAGGTGTGAAAGCGAGAGCGAGCGCATCGCAAATATTAACCCTCTCGGCTCACTCTGCGTTCTTCCAACTTACCCTGGCTATCTACTTCTGTGCCGAACCAAACCAAAGCCACCTCTTGGTGCACCACGAGCTCTCTGGTGGCCTCTGGAAGCTCGGCTGTGCGCCTAGCGGCCTCCCCGATGTTTCTGTCGAGCAGCACCACTTTGCGGTTGCGGCGGCCTTTGTCTTGGTCCGACTGCGCGACGAACAAGCTGCCAATCAATGAGATCGCGAGTACGGCATAGCGGGTCAAAAATTTAACCAAAAACAACTTGGATGATAAGATTTGCAAACTTACCGATATACCGAAGTATATGTAGCAAATTTTACGAATAAATCTTCGTGCGTAGTTCAACGGATAGTGCATCACTTTCCCACCGGTGGCCGGGGGTTGCACCGCAGTAACAGGACGGTCAAACGTAGTTGGTACCAGCGAAGCTGACTCTATTAATCCAACAACGAAGAAGGTGATCATGAAAGGAGTTATCTTTTATTCTGTCGTTCACGGAAACCGATTAATCACATTCATGTAGGTTTTCTCCGCTACTTCATCGCGCTCTGAGTAAAGAAAGCTTGTTTGATCCCCCTGGCGAGGTGTGTGGGGCAGATCGCTTTGCGTGCCTGGAGCAAGCATGAGCTCGACGCAATCAGGTTTGAAGGCCATTTGAAATGCCTCCGCACGACCACAGCAGTGCCTGCCACATCACGACCCGACGTCCGAGAAAGAGGAGTATGCATGTACCACATGTCGCGTACCCCCTGATCTGCTTACCTACCCCCATCCATTTGGCCAATCCCTCCTGCAGCAAGTTGTTCTGCCGATCGCGGGAGATAGGCGCTCTTTTGAATGTTTGTGAATCGTTCGGTACCAACGGCTTCAACTTTTCAACTTTGCGACTCGATCGACCCGCGAGCGGGTGCGGGAGGTCTTTACTACCATAGATGACACAAGATACCACACCCCCCTGGCCTCGATCTTCAAAGCTTCATTACACCTCGACGAAGAGGATGCATAAACGAACCAATACGTTTTCGGAAAGCTCTCCACGAGGTGGTTTCAACGCCGCCATTTTCGGCGCTGCCGCTCGTTCTGTTGTGGAGAAATCGAGCTTTATTACCGGTTGAGGGGGTATGCTATCTTGTGTCACGATATTGTACACATGCGACGTCGGAAAGCGTGTACATGATGTTGTCAAGTATCCGGTGGACCGTGTGCATACAATAAGCTCGATTCCGCGATTTTTTCGCTCACCCATTTTGACCGCTTCCACACGCGAGATCCAACACATCTCCTTCCACTGCATCCAGCTCGCTCATGAACCGGCGGACCAATTCCGCAACTGGCGGCATGATGATGGGGTAATTATGCCGACCGAAAGAAGATCGTGCAACCACCAACGCAAGGAAGGAAAGGAGGCAAGTAGCACTCCGCTGCCCCATCAACGTGCTACGGCACCTCCAAAGTATTCACCACGGCCAACGCTAGCTATCCAAGGCAAAGGCGGAGCAGCAGTGAACCACAGCAAGGAGATTATTACGGGGCCCGTACTTGTAGGTTTTCAAACTTGTCCGCAGACGAAATGGATTTTCGCTTTTGACGGGGATAGGAGCAGCAAAAACTCTACACACACTCAATGATGGCGACGATCAACGAAGCCTCGACACTAAGAGCACGCAGCACAGAAACAGCAGCAGTGGCGGGCGTGAGCGAGCTGAGGGCAACACATCATGTCATGATGTACACCTCTGTAGGACACGCGAAGCCTAACCCCCCGCTTGAGAACTATTTCTCCGGCGGTGCCCCCTGGTTCCGTTTTGATGCGTGGGTCGTGCGTGGGTCGGTCTTGTCGAGAGCCACCCTGCTGTGTGCTGTGTGCTGCATGCCAGCTCTCATAGACCACTTGAGGCGCCCGCCTGCTATGGGTGTGGTGTAGATTTTCTGCGAAGATCCTCCCTGTTGTCTGAGCCGTAGAATAGCTGGGGGCAGGGTGAGAACACATAAGGAGAGACTCAAGCTTTGACGTGGAGCAGGAGACACAGGCAGGGTCAGCTGAAGATAGGGTGCTGCTGAGAGAGCGACCCAAAAGGGGGAGGGAAAGATGTTTGAACGATTCGTCTCCTCTATACTCACCAGGTTGCTGGGGGAGTATGTGGAAGATTCGACGTTCAACACCGAGAGCGTCAAGCTCGGAATATGGAGAGGTGAGGAAAGCGAGCACAACAGTAAGTCTACAGCAGTCCAGCGCGACATACAAACTTCAAACTGTCGCCCTGTGACTGAGAGCTCTCCGCAGACACCGGCGGGCATCCCTCGGCAAGGGAGATGGATGGGACAATGCCGTGCCTGCCTGCTTGCACATTTGTTTCCTCTCGCACTGCGCGCTTGCTTGTTGCGGTGCCTCAATCGAGTTGTTGGTCACAGGGACTGCCGTCCGTACCTAATTCATGCATAGGGTCGGGGAACACCTCCTGGGAGGTTGCAGTTTTCCCGACATCACGACGTACGTACTTTTTCAGCGCGTAGACTGACAACAGCAGTGTAGGATCCTTCCGCTGTGGTTTGCGGCGCATTGCACCGCTACTGTCGCTGCTTCTGTTGGCAACAACGCACGTCGACGTAACTCGTACCCAGCAGTGCTGCTGGCCACCCAAGACTGCTGTGCTGCAGCTGTTTTCCACGTAAAGCTGTCGGTGTGCTACTGCTGTACTGCTGTAGTTCACTCGGTTGCGGCACATCGCCATCGAAGTCTCTTTTGACGAAGAGAGAGGCATCGACAAGGTTTGAACTTGGCAACGCACGAGAGAGGCTGCTATTTACAGCGCGCCAAGCGTGTTTTTGTAGTGGGTGGCAGCCGATACTAAGGAGGAAGATGTGGTGGGGTCAGGGTTACTTTTCGGCAGTCTTGATGCTGCTGTCGGTAGCAATACCTCCTGCCCTGTACACAGACTTTGTTGAGGATCGATACTGAAAGTCGGGCAAGCGCGTGCCAAGTAACTGCTGTGCATCGGTTCATGCCAGCCAGACATTTTGTAAAGTGGACGATGTGCTGGTTCACCGGTATCCCATCCAGCCTTTGATGGACAAGTCATGGACGAGTATCGAGTGTGGGCGAAACGGTCCAGAGCTCGTGTAACGGTGTAATAACCAAAATATGTAGAAATATGCCTCGCTGCTGCCGCTGCCGCTGAATTCTGGTTCACTCTTTTGTTGGGGTCGGGGGCGAGAAAAGGCTACCTTGTGCTGGAGGATATGCACATCAAGAAGACCCTGATGGACATGCTGGAGCTCCCGCTGGCGCTCAGGCACGGCATCATCGGCCGGCTGCAGATACAGATCCCATGGTCGACCCTGAACAAGGATCCTATCCTCGTCGATGTCGACCGGGTGAGTAGAGAACAATACAACTACCAGTACTCACGTGCTCAGCTGCTGTCTGTAGTGATTAAAGGATGACGATACTATGTACTGCTATGCAGTTAGAAATAGTCTACAAGCCATATGCTGGCGTGGGAGTCGTATTGCAAGCATGCACCACGCGTGTTGAGAGAGGGAGAGAGAGTGAGCACGAGAGAGAGAGAGAGAGAGAGAGAGAGAGAGAGAGAGAGAGAGAGAGGGAGAGAGGAGAGACAGAGAACTGAGATTGTTTGTTACTTGGCTTTGTCATTCACTGGTTCGTTCAACGCCTACATGTGTGACCTACACGTGTGACGCAGATCTTCTTGGTCGTCGAGCCCAAGTTCGAGTGGGATGCGGGAGCCGTGAAGCAGCGAGAGCGCGCCGTAAAGCGCGGTAAAATCGCCGCCGCGGAGCTCTTCCGAACCTCTCCCCTGGACGACACCCCCGCTGGGTCCAGCGAAGGTGAGTCAACCGTCACCTTTTCTTGAAAGGCAGCATAGCGCTCTAACTATTTCACCTTTAGGGAGAGAACGTCGTGTGTGAGTACATTGCCTGCTTTTGCTGACGCTGACAGAATGAAATCCTCATGCCGCGACGCCTTTCTGTTTCAGCGACAATTCAGGTTGTGCTCTGCCCACCACGTACCGGGTGTATCTGGCGTGCATGTGGTTGCGGACCCCCCCCCCACCCCTTTGAGTGTTTCCTGGTCCCGCCTTTGATCCTTGCCGTGCGGCCTTTCCCCCGCCCCCGACGCGCTTGTGGTGGTGTACTTCGTCCGCTTCTCCCGCCAAAACTCGCTTGGCACACCCGTCGCCCAGGTGGGAGCAAGGCAAGGTGGGGCTCGGGGCTGCAGAAGTGGGTGACAGATCGCCTCGTTACTCGGATAGTGGACTCGTTGCAGATCCACGTTCGAGAGGTTCACTTGCGCTACGAGGTGTGTGCATGTTTCTTTGTTGTTTTTGTCTCGTGTGTACATTTTTTTTTTTGTGTTGACGAACATTAGGGCCTTGATTGAGCCTTTCGACAGGGTTTGTCTGGCCGAGTGTGCGCAGCCCTCAGCGGAGCTGGGAGACGCTCGTCGCTTCTGCCGTCATCCGCCCCCCCCACCCCCTAATTCCGCCGCCTCTCCAAGAACTCGTCAATCCTTACCCACCCGCCTTGTCCTCTCAACACACACACACGCATGCACCCCGCAGGATCGGATCTCCAATCCTAGCACCCCCTTCTACCTCGGTGCAACGGTAGAGTCCCTGTGGCTGGAGTCGACGGACCAGGGCTGGGAGGTGCAGCCTGGGCCTCGGTCCGGACCCATCCGCCCCGGCGGCACGGGAGGAGAGGGTGAATCGGCGGTGCCCCCGAGAAACGGGGGGAGGAGGAAAGCTGCTAGCGAGAACGAGATCGAGGCGACGACCGGTGTCGCTGCTTCTTCTTCTTCGCCGCGCGGCGACGGCGTTGGTGGCGATGACCCCGCGATATCGTCGGGTGCGAGGGCGGTAGGGAACGGCGGCGGGGGCGCGGGCGGGTCGGGGGCGGGAAGCGGGAGCGGGAGCGGGAGCGGCGGCAGCAGGAGTGTTGTCGTCGGCGACCGGCTGGTGAAGAAAACGCTGCAGCTGAACCAGCTGGCGGTGTACTGGAACCCGGCGGAGAGTGGGAACCCTTGCTCAATGGACCTGTCGGACATTCCCGTCGACCAGGCAGAGGTGGTTATCAGCAGGTGCGGGGGGGGGAGGGGGGGG